AGAAGGCTCGCAATTTTTTTTTTTTTGGTTGCAAATTATTTCCGATTTGCATGGAGTGGCTCCGTGTGGTGTTGTTGTTATCAACGTTAGCAATAACAAATCATGTGTCATGTTCATGGGGTTTGGAGGCTGGTCCGAGTTGGGAGCTGAGTCAACTGAATCGGGGGCTGCTGGACTCGGCGAGGCAGCCGGAGTTCTTTGATTGGTTGAAAAGGGTTAGGAGGAGGATCCACGAGAATCCAGAGCTGGCCTTCGAGGAGCACGAGACGAGTCAACTCATTAGATCGGAACTCGACTCGCTCGGGATCCAGTACACGTGGCCGGTGGCCAAGACTGGGTTGGTGGCTTCTATTGGTTCTGGGTCGCAGCCATGGTTCGCTCTGAGGGCTGACATGGATGCTCTCCCAATTCAGGTTTGCCAATATTCTCTCTTCTTTCCTAGAAGGTCAACAACCCCACAACAAAGTACCCAAAAAAACCCAAAATTATCCAGTCACATTTCCCCAATGGACCCATAACCACTTGAGATGGAGAGAAATTCCTTTTTGCTATCCCCGTCAATAACGTAATGATACATTGGATAACTTTTCCATGTGTGATTATGTTATTGACTAGGAATAGCAAAATTCAAGTAAGTGTTTTTCTTGAGGAGGGCCAATGTGGTTCCCACCTAAGCACTCTGAATTGATTGGATACATTTGATCAGTATTTTGAGAATCAAAATGGGAGTGAAAGACTGTGGCTAACATTGCTAACAAATTTGTATTTGAATTTACTCCAATGCTAAACTTCATTATTTTCCGTCTTTTTCTTTGACATGTGTATGCACATTTGTGGAGCAAATTTAGTGAATGTAGCATTATCGAGCACATTTGTTCAGCAAATTTAGCGAATGTGGTAGCATTATCGAAATTGATTATATCGGGTTTCTTGTTTTTTAGGAATTGGTTGAGTGGGAGCACAAGAGCAAGAACTCTGGAAAGATGCATGCTTGTGGGCATGATGCTCATGTAACAATGCTGCTTGGAGCAGCTAAGTTACTTCAGAGCAAAAGCAA